AGGTCACGATCTCGCGCTCTGTGAGTTCGAGCCCCGCGTCGGGCTCTGGGCTGATGGCTCAGAGCCTGGAGCCTGTTTCTGATTCTGTGTCTCCCTCTCTCTCTGCCCCTCCCCCGTTCATGCTCTGTCTCTCTCCCAAAAATAAATAAACGTTGAAAAAAAAATTAAAAAAAAAAAAAAAAGAAATGAACCGGTACGATTCCTCTACATATGCTACATACCAAAGGATTGACTTTCTGCAACAAGCCCACGTCTCCATTTCCTTCCTTAAAGCCCTTCCTATCTTCCCTTTGCTCGTGACTGTGGTCTTCTGGGGTTTATGAGACCCCACGGAATCGGAGTCTGCTTACTTTGGCAGTCTCAGTTCTGCTGCGATCCCTCTGAGTTCCATACAGAACTTCTACTTTCTGGGGTGTTCCCACAGTCTCTGTTCCCCTTGGACCTCTGTACGTGCCATTCCCAGCTTCATACTGCACACCCTCCCCCCAACTGGGAAAACTCCTATTTATACCTTAGCTGTAAAGATAAGATATCCTTTCCCTCAGAGAGCTTCCCCTAAGCCCTGAAGGCCAGGTCAGATCATAGGGCAGTCACTGTCCAGGTGTCTTCCCCTCTGTGCCCACCAGCGGGTCCCATGCGTGGGGGCCACAGCTGCGTCATTCACTTTCATATGCCCAATGCAAAGGAGGTGCTCGATGTTCGGGGGTCAGGTCAGGAAGTTTTGACGGTAGCCCGAGGGAATCTGGTGTTACCCAGGTTTTAAACAAAACAGTAAGAGGTGCATTTAGAAAAAGAGAACGCAGATGGGAGGCGTTTATAATAAGAGAGAGATAGCAGTGGCCCAGGTATCTTATCTGTAAAGTGGGGAAACAATATTTATCGTGGCTGGAGTTGTTGGTTATTAAAGGAGTCAAGGTGTTAATATTGGTAAGATACCTGGCCCAGGGCTGAGCGAGCGACAATAGGTAATATCATCATGACAGAAGGATAGGATGGTCAAGCATGTGGGCTCTGGGTTTAGGTTCCAAGTCATTTGCCTTCTAGCTGTGTGACTCTGGGCATGTTCCTTAACCTCTCTGGTTTCAGTAGCCTCTATATGTAAAATGAGCTCACCCCTGCCTTTTGTAGGCTGGTCATGAAAATTATGAGTCAATACAGGTGAGGCGCTTTTTGTTTTTGAGAGCAAGTGAGCAAGGGGAGACAGAGACAGAATGAATCAGGTGAGGTGCTTCTTAAGGTGACTGGCACACGACAGACGCCCAGCGGCAATTAGCTGAAGCACTTATTACAGGCTGTTTTCCTTAGCTGATCCCAGGAGGGTCAAAGGTTTCAACCACCTAGGGAGAGGGATGCTTTCTAGTGGGGGTGGGGGAGCCGACTCTAAATGGGCCTTCCCCAGGGTTCTTTGCGCTAAACTACCCAGGACCAAAGGAGGAGAGAGGTCCTAATGACCGTTATCACTTCCGTTATGGAAAGACCAAGAGGTAACAGAAAGCGCTGGGCCCTGTGCTAAAAAGCAGCACGCGCCCCACCCCCCCGCCACGTGATCGCAAGGCCCCGCCCCTCACTCACCTCTGCAGTCCCTGAAGTCGGCGTGGCTGGGCGGGTGGTGCTTGCACAGCCGCTCCAGGACCTGCTTGTAGTGCATGAGCCGGTGCAGCGGGCGCAGGAGGAAGGTGTTGAGAGGCAGGTAGCACACCTTCTGCAGCTCGAAGTCTCTGCACAGGCTCTCCAGCCGCCGGGAGCTCCTGATGCCCGTCTCCAGCGCCTCCAAAGCTTCACTGTGCTTCCACAGGTGAGCCGCCAGTTGCTGGTGGGGGCGAGACACGAGCGCACACGCGTTCCACCGGGCCCGACTCTCAGAAGTGAACATCACCCTGGCCTTTCGTGGCTTCCTTTCATTCTACTTCGAGCTTTCCCATTCGCTATTGATTTCATTATTTCCGTTAGGCTCTCGGGATGAAGAAAAAACCTCTAGGGAAGCATTATGCGTTTGAATCGGCATAGGAGACGTATATGCCATATTAGAGGTGAGGCTGGCAAAACTGGGGGGAATAGACAGGAGCTCCTTCAGGGGGCTGTGCTTTCCTTCTAAATGTCAGAAGAGCCCAGGGCCAATTCAATAGGTGTCATATAGTTACAGCTACGCATTTCTGTTAAACTCCTCCCTTCTGCTTCTCCGTAAGGAAGCATCTGCCATGAGCCACCTGCCCTGCTCCATTCCAGAGCGCTGGGTGAGAATTAGAGACAGAGCCTACTCTGTGGGGGTCTGACAAAGATACTTTACTTGACCATCTTTTCTGCAGGCTCCTGAGGCTTCTCCTTGACTGGTCTGGGAGCTTCCTTATGAAAAGCCAGTTTTAGCAAAAATCCTACTAAGCCTAACTGGAACCCCCGGCCCTTGGCGTCTGGCCACCCTTGACATTGGGTTCCTCATCTCTTACCATCCCCAGGTGACGTGCGATCACCTTGTCTTCAGCAAAGAATCCTGTCTGGTTGGTTCAGCCAGAACCCGATTTATCCCCGATGTTTCCTCTTTGTACCTTCCCATCCTCTGACCCCCACCCTGCCCCTTGGCTAGAAGTCCCCACTTGCCCACGCTGTATTCAGAGTTGAGCCCAGTCTCTCTCTCCCCCACAGCAGTGGACCCTACCCAGTCCCAATGGTCCTGAATAAAGTCTGCTTTACTATATTTAACACATGCTGTTGAATATTCCCTTCCTGTAATAGCTGGTGGTGGAGACTGACGAGGGTAAGAGGATAGAGGGTTTGAGAATAGAGCATTAAAGGAGGAATTAAGTCCTTACAGGAGGTGGGGAATCGCAAGGTAAGGGTAGATTCCCTTACCTTACAGGTAAGGGTAACAAGATGGCACAAGAACATCCAGGACAAGAGAACAGCAGTTGTCCTCAAGACTTCCTTCCCGGGAGTGGGCTTGCCGTCCATGTGCTGCCCACCCCACATCTACATTTCCACGCTCCCCAAAGGCTCCACAAAGAGCCCGAAACGTTGTGAGTCCAAGTGGAAACCCAACACCGCCTGCCTCAAGTGGGGCCGCCCCATGATTCTGTAACCTCAGGATGGATGCCGCCACCAGCCGGTTATCCAGGATGGAAAAACCAGGAAAACACTCCGGATTCCATTTTTTTTTTTTTGAATCCTTCACCAAGTCCTTCTGATTCTACCTCCTAAAAACGTCAAGGCTGTTACCATCTTTCTCTGCACAGTCACTGCCCTGGTTCTGGCTTTGTGTCCCCCCGCCCCCCAACCCCCACCGACGGGGGTGGGGGCGCCATCGGGGCCTCTGCCTCCACGCCTCACCCCTCCATGCCTCCAGAGTCCTCAGCAGGGCACATGGGGCCCTTAGGATATAACCCTCCCCCCCTCCACTGTGCTTCTTGCCACCTCACCCCGGGTGAGCAACCTGAACAACCTACACTTGACTGCCTGGCTCATGCCCAGAGCCTCTGCACGTGACACGCCCCTGAGGAGCCCTGCCCGGCCTCAGCAACCCCCTCAACACCCACCCGCCTCCACCAGTTAGGGACTCCTCTATCTTCTATACCTCTGCCGTATGTGTCCATCTCAGCCCTTGTCACGTGGTGTCCCCTGCTGGGTTTAGTGACTACTTTTATTTTGAAATACAGATTCATAGGAGCTTACACAGGAATGTACAGGGAGGTCCTGCACCCAGCCTCCCCCAGGGCTAACATCTCGTGTAACTATAGCACAACATCAACACCAGGAAATTGACACTGGTATGATCCGGAGTTTACTCAGACTCTACCAGTTAAATGTGCCCCCGTGCGTGTGTGTACACGTGCAGCTCCAGGCCGTGTTACCACATGCGCTGTTCCCGAGTTGACCTTAAGAGTGCACATCGGTCATGCTCCTGCATCCTCGGGGCCTGATACACACATAGGCACTCAGTAAATGCCTGCTGCCTGCATGCCTTAATGAGCAAATGAAGGGTGCCTGGTTGGCTCAGTTGGCAGCATGTGACCCTTGATCTTGGGGTTGTGAGCTGGAGCCCCGCGTTGGGAGTAGAGGTCACTTCAAAACAAAACAAAACAAGAAAAAACAACCATGCATGCACCCAGCCAAGGCAGGAGTCTTGCAAGAACCTTGAGTGTCTGGAGAGGTGAGTTCATGGTCACTGGAGCACAGAGAAGCATGCGAAGGACACGGGGAAAGGCCTGGAAAGATCATCCAGGGCTAGAACACGAAGGCCTTTGTCAGGTTTGGGTTTGGACTGTATTCTCCCAGCCAGAGAGACACAGGAGGGTTGTGAGCCTCGGCAGTCTGGCGGTACCATCCATGCTGACTGGGAGGACGGCTCGCCGGGAGGCAGGGCAACACCAGGAAGCTGGTCGGGTCCTCCAGCAGACAGCCAGCTGAGAGCCAGAAGGAGTAAGGTGGGAGAAGTTGAAGGAGGAGAGGGGGCAGTAGGTGGGCACCTGAGGAGACAGACGGGTCGAGTGAAGGTCCCAGCCTGGGTGAAAGATGGATCTTTGGGAGGGTTTTGAAGTGCCTTTGTGCATCTGAGCAGATGTCTCCAGTTGGAAGTTTGCGGCATAAGCAAGAGATCCTAATTTGGGTATCTGACTTTCAGGCAGGGATTGGAGCCCCTGGCCCAGCTCCCTCGGTCATGGTCATGAGTGGAGGGTCTGGGAACCGCCCCAGTCTGGCTGAGCCCCTGCTAATGCAGGTAAAAACACAGGGGTCTGTGGGGGTGGGGGACAGGAAGGACACTGCAAGCTGTAGATCACTGTAAGCCTTTTGGACAAGAGTGCTATCCTGGGCTTCTGCATCTCTCGAACCTTCTGCTGGCTCTCCTTCATACTTCATAAAAATTCTTTAAAGCCAGCTATAACCACCACAAGAAAAAGCAACCCAAACAAATGCTAAAAACGGCAGCCAGTGGCTCTCTGAGCCTCTCCACCTATTTTTATTTTGCTTGCACGGAGCTCCATGCTATAAATATGCTCATGGCATCCGCACAGGAACTCAAATGCCAGCACAGCCGACGAAGCTGACTAACCACAAAAATGCCAACTCACCAGACTGAGGAGAAAGAGCTGCTCTGAGCGAAAATCAGGTATGTTCTAGGAGGTCTCAGGCGCTAGGTGAACAGAGAGGAGGGTGGGTACCACTGCCTGTCAGCTCTCCGTGGACGAGGCACAAAGGACAGCTGGTGATGCTGGGGACCGTCCCCAAGGGGGCAAGGAATGGGCTGGCAGGTCTCCAACTGCCGTCTCTGGAGGCCCATGGTGGAGTCCAAGCCTCCTTGAAGGGAGTCTGCGAAGGCAGAAGCCCTCCCTGGGCAGGATTATACAGCTGTCCCTTGAACAACCCTGGGGTGAGGGGCACTGACTCCCCCACACAATTAAAAATCAGCATTTAGGGGCACCTAGGTGGCTCAGTCGGTTGAACGTCTAACTTTGGCTCAGGTCATGGTCTCACGGTTTGTGGGTTCGAGCCCCGCGTCGGGCTCTATGCTGACAGCTCAGAGCCCGGAGCCTGCTTTGGATTCTGTGTATGTCTCTCTCTGCCCTTCCCCCACTCGTGCTCTGTCTCAAAAATAAATATAAATGTGAAAAAAATATATTTTTTTTAAAAATCGGCATGTAACTTTTAACTCTCCCAAAGCTGAACTATTAATAATAGCCTAATGTTGACTAGAAACCTTATGGTTAACATTGATTAACATATAGTGGTATATGTAATATCACAGGGAAGACAAAATACATTCATGGTATCCTGTATTTATGGGAAACGTTCTACATGTAAGTGGACCCACGCAGTTCAAACCCATGTCATTCCAGAGTCAGCTGCCATGTAGGTGAAGGGAATACTGAGAGCAAAGAGGGAAAACCCAACTGGGCCAAAAAAACAGGCGGACATAGGAAAATAACTGGAAAGTCCAACAGTAACAAAAACATGTTACAAAAGAGAGAAAAAAAAGAGTATCTTTAACAAGCGTTAAAGAGTCTGATAAGGCTGCCCGCTGTGTGATTCCAACTATAGGACATTCTGGAAAAGACAAAACTATGCAGACAGGAAAGGGTCGGGGGTTGCCAGGGGGTGGGGGAGGGGAGGGATGAACAGGCAGAGCCTGGAGGAATTTTAGGCCAGTGACCCTGTCCTGTGTCATCCTGTCATGGCAGGTACATGACATTCTGCATTTGGCAGAACCCCACAGAATGTACCACTCCAAGAGTGACCCCTAACGGGAACTATGGATTTAGATAATAGTAATGCTCATCAGTTGTAGCAAAGATCCCACACCCATGCAAGATGTTAGTGCCAGGGCACTGTGTGTGTGTGTGTGTGTGTGTGTGTGTGTGTGTGTGTACGCACAAGTATGCACATAGGACGTCTCTGTGGGCTTTCTGCTCAGTTTTTCTGTAAACCTAAAACTGCTTTAGAAAAGAAAATACACTAATAAAAAATACTATGGAAAGCACAAAGAGGTCTGTTACTGTTACATCTGAGTTTTGTGGATCAGCCTTACTTAAAGCATTAAAAACACCGTGGCTGTAGAACATCTTAGATAATTCTTTGCATTTATTGCATGGGATTCTGCAATCCGGATAGCTTTCATGGCCTCTCTCTCTCGTCTTGCCCAGAGGGCAGTGTTGCTTTTTGAAGACTGTAAAAAAGTGTGCTCAAGGCCTGTTAAATAGTATCTTGATCTTTGTTAAGAGAAACAGGAAAGCTCTGGAGTGGCTTTAGATCTTGTCTTTTTTGTGTACCACCCCCCGCCCCACCATCCCCTTGTCCTGCCTCATGAGATAGATCATTCTAAGGGGGAAAATAAAGCCTTAAACAACTTCGTAAGATTCTTGGGAATTAATTCAAACTCCAACAGTAACTTTTATTGTACAAGCGTCTTATACATTGTGGGTGCTCAGCTAATCCTGGAGGGAGGGATGGGGGGGGTGGATGGATGGTTGGTTGGATGGGAGGGAATGGTGGCAGGAGCAACCTCCCTTCTTTAGAGGTTGCTCTGAGTTATTAGTAAAGGTATTAGGCTTTGTTGGGCCAGTTGAAATGTAGGAAGATCACTTTAAAATGTAAATAGAGAGGTATTTGTCTTCAAAAGGTAAACCGTGAATTAAAATATTCTATATTAAAGGCATTAATTAAGATGAAAATGTAAAAATGAAAATTTCACTGCTAAGAGATGGGGCAGATTTCAAAAATGAGGTAGAATATTGGTTCAAAATGTCTGGTGGTATACTCTTGTCTCATTGCAGATATTGCTGGCTGGTTAGAAATGTCTTTGCCTGGTACAGTGACTTCAAGTCATAGGATTGATTAGAATTCCTACCTGGCTCTAAACCCAATGTTTTCGTCACACTTACAAGAAGCCAAAACGACTGATGAAAAGTGCAATGTTCAGTCGACCAAACCACGTTTTGTCTACATCGTTTTTTAAAATGAGTGCTGAATGATTTATTCAGATAATACCTATTGTTTTGGTTACAGCACAGAGCTTTTAAGGAGGAAAAGTACTACAAGTACTTCTCCCAAAGGGGCTGCATTTTCCTTCCAAACTCGATTGTCTGCAAGCACAGAGGAATTCACCCTGGGTTTACCTGTATTTAGTCAAATCAGGTCATGTGTGGTTATGCACTGGGATTGAAGCCCAGGCCTCTGGGAGGCCCAGCCTGGTTTTCCCTAGGGAACTCGTTCCACCGGAATCCCAAAGCAGCTCACCTTCATACCCTGAATGTTCTTCAGTAGGACATCTCCGATTCTTTGGTAATCCCCTCTGATGTGGGCATTTGAGCGGCCTTCCCTGAAAGCAAAGGCAAAGAGGTTGAAAACAAAAGCATGAACAGTGGAAACATAACCGGAAAATATCTGGCCTCAGATCACAAAACAGCAAGCTTTATGCCTTCCTTTCCAATCCCCTATTATTTGTACCTCTCCCTTCTCCGGGCGTCACACAATGTTAGTGCCGGAAGGAGACTATGAAATCACCCCATTCTTCTGCAAAGAATTCCCCTTGTACTTCGAAAGAGACAGGGAAGAACCATTGTGCTATCATTTCAATTTGGTCTCATTTCCAATTTTTTCCCCATTCACGCTTGGGTGATTTGGGCGTCATTACAAGAGCTTGGAAATCACTAACAGACAAGGTTTCTGGTCCCAAGAGCCCTTAGCTTAAAGCAGACAAAGAGCTGCGTGGACAGCCCTGGGGAAAAGAAAAACATAACTGAGGAGGTACAGGAGCCCCACGTGTGGAGGTGGGAACAGGGGCAGAAGTGGGCAGGATGGGTGTCCCAGGTACAGAGAGGGGCAGGGAAGGGAGGTTCCAGACTCCCCCCAGCCAGAGATGCTGGGTGAAAGATGACAAAGATGTGGGCCCTTTCAGCAGAGTTTTGGGTATACTGTATTCTTATTTCTTATGGCTCTGGGCTGCAGCCAATGTTGATAAGCTAAGAGCTTAAGCAGCAGAGAGGAAAGGAATATCAATAACGGTAGGTGGTTATTAAGCACGGTCCACTGTGCTGAGCACATTATAAACACTAGTTCATTTACCCCTCATGATGGCCTTATGAGGCAGGTACCATCATCAGCACCATTAAACAGCTGAAGAAACCGAGGCACAAAGAAACCACGCAGCTTGCCTAATGTCAGCTATCGTGAGACCGTGGGCCCACACCCCTCCAACCATGGCACCGGTGTGTATCTGTGAATTTACCCACTGATGGCTAATATCTTCAAACGAACTGTTCAGGAGAGCTAGAAGCTAACTTAAATGAGAGGGATGCATGAAAAAGAAAAAAAGTAAAAATCCGGGCATCGGGCTTCCAGTCAGAAGAGAGAGCCCCAGCTCGGGGCTTCCCGCAGAGGCAGTGAAATGATACATTCCCCGGTTCTAACTCAGCAGACACGTAGATTACATCACCAGGGAGACAGAGCACCCAGACCCACGGACGGGGTAGTTAAAGCTGCTCCGGAATAAAGGGACAGACAACATACTTATGCTCCCAGCCTGGGTCAGCGTCGGCTTCTGGGCGCTTTATTGTATTCCTTTCCCCTCCCCCCGCACAGAATTCCCCAATCCTTCTGCTTCCTCTCAGCTGCCCAAACAAAGGGTGTTGGGAGATTGCCTTAATCACTGCTCCTCTTCCAATTGAGTCTGGATTCTGTCCTCCACCCCCTGAAGTGCTTCTGTGAAGGAATACCACCCACCTCCTAATTGCCTAAACCCTGCCCCTAGGCAGCTTCTCTGGGCCTGGGGGCCCCAAACTCCAGGCACTTGGCTCTCCAGCTTTGGGAGGCCTCTGGAGGTCACTTCTCAGTCCTCGTGGCCACCTCCCCCTCTTCAGGCTACTCCTGAGAGGTCTGTGTTCTTTGGGAACGCATCTGTGCTTATGTGCTCTCTTCACTTTCTACTTCTTCCTGTATAATCCCTGGATTCCCCACGGGTTCTATGCATGATGCCAGATCTGTACCCAAATGCCCCTTGTCCAAATGACCCAGGGACTGTATTTCTTACACCCACCAGAGGGTTCTACATGAATGACCCTGCAAGTATCTCAAACTCAAGAGGTTCCAGAGTTAATTATCTTACTGCCCAAACTCAATCCCCTTCCTATGTTAACCCCCTTGATCATGTAACTGTTCTGCCCGCCCCGCTCAAGCCGGGAACCTCAGGTATCCTCCCTTGTCTGTCTCTCCTGTCCCCCACCCAGTGGATCAAATTCCTCCCAAAATGGGGTCACTGGAGAATGTTTAAGTGACAGACTTAAACCCAGGCTCTGCTTTAGAGACGGTGCTCAGTCTATTGCTAATCACCGCATGTTATTCTGCCCTGTCAACCGCAGGGTGGAGGCATCTCCGGAATTTTAGCAAATGGTTATTAATCCAATCTCTATTGAGAAGTTTATTGTTTGGCCATTCTGTTGATCCTGATGTGTGCCGACTTTTAGTTGAGAGTTTACTGGTTGCTCTCTTCCTTATACACTTGGAGAAGGGAGCTGTGGCCTCAAACGGAAGCTTTCTGCTTTATAGAACCCCTCCTTCAAGCCTGCACCTTCACCATCACGTGATGCCCTGGAAGGAGCTGGAAAGCTCCCCTTC